ATAACTCTTTGCACACCAGTACCAGAGCCTAACAGAGGGACGTGGGTGGCGCTGTGGTCTAAACCACAGAGCCTAAGGTTTGCCGATCAGAAGGTTGGCAGTTCGATTCCCCACAATGGAGTGAGCTCCCATTGTTCGGTCCCAGCTCCTCCCAACCTAGCAGTTCGAAAGCACGTCAAAGTGCAAGTAGATAAATAGGTACTGCTCCGGCGGGAAGGTAAACGGTGTTTCCACTGCTCTGGTTTGCCAGAAGCGGCTTAATCATGCTGGCCACATGACCCAGAAAAACTGTCTGCGGACAAACGCCCTCGGCCTATAGAACGAGATGAGCGCACAACCCCAGAGTCGTCCGCGACTGGACTTAACGGTCAGGGATACCTTTACCTTTTACCAGAGCCTAACAGCTGCAGTTGCCAAGATGCAGAGACAGGGGGAACTACAGCTGTTGACGTATCTCCATACTCAAAAGGACCTTCTGACCCCACATTAACTAACCTAATTGTTGAAATGGTCATTTGAGGTGCCCTGCCCCTCAGTCAAGAGGTGGAATGGGTGGAAATGAAGAAAAGGGTCTTCTGGGTTTTGGCATCCCATCATGGGAGTGCCCTCCATAGAGAGGCTCGCCTGCAGCCACCAACGGGGACAGGGTCAGCTGGGGCAGGACGCTACACAGGGCCTCCAAGGAGTCTGCCTGCCTCCTCCCACTCAGCCACCCTACAGCTGAGGGGGAGGCAGCGGGTGGACCGTTTGGACAGCATGGAGCCTGCGGGTGCCCAAGCCACCGCGTCACTCCCAGGAGAGACACATGGCTCGGGCCCACTGCAGGCTCCACGATGAGTGCCACCCGACATTTTGTCACCCCCCTCAGTGGTGACATCCGGGGCGACCTGCCCCCACCACACACCCTTCCCCTGCCCCTGCTTGCCTGGCACTGTTGTTGTTGTTTAGTCGCTTAGTTGTGTCGACTCTTCATGACCCCATGGACCAGAGCACGCCAGGCACTCCTGTCTTCCACTGCCTCCCGCAGTTTGGTCAAACTCATGCTGGTAGCTTCGAGAACACTGTCCAACCATCTCGTCCTCTGTCATCCCCTTCTCCTTGTGTCCTCCATCTTTCCCAGCATCAGGGTCTTTTCCAGGGAGTCTTCTCTTCTCATGAGGTGGCCAAAGTATTGGTGTCTCAGCTTCATGATCTGTCCTTCCAGTGAGCGCTCAGGGCTGATTTCCTTCAGAATGGAGAGGTTTGATCTTCTTGCAGTCCATGGGACTCTCAAAAGTCTCCTCCAGCACCATAATTCAAAAGCATCAATTCTTCGGTGATCAGCCTTCTTTATGGTCCAGCTCTCACTTCTATACATCACTATTGGGAAAACCATAGCTTATGTTGAAAGTGGATGGCTGGATACAGGCCTTATTATTTGCCTGAGATGCAGTCTTTGGCATTGTTCAGCTGTGCGCTAAACATGCTGTTTTATTGCTGTTCTGTTGTTCCAGTACAGTGGTACCTTGGTTTACGAACTTAATCTGTTCCGGAAATCCGTTCTTAAACCAAAGCGTTCTTAAACCAAGGCGTGCTTTCCCATAGCAGCAGGGGACTCAATTTACAAATAGAACACACTCAACAGGAAGCGGAACATGTTCTGTTTCCAAGGCAAAGTTCACAAACCAAAGCACCTACTTCCGGGTTTGCAGCGTTTTTAATCCAAGTTGTTCATAAACTAAGCTGTTCTTAAACCAAGGTACCACTGTATTGCTTTAAATGCTTTTCCCCCCTCTTCATTATTGTATTTAACCTTGGAAATTCTTAGCCTCGAAAGGCATGGCAACAAATTTTTCAAATCAGTGAAAACTGAACAGGCACAGCAGCCTTGCTAGACAAAAAAGAAAAGAAAAACAGCAACAAGGAAGCCTTACCCACCCACCCAAAAGTAGAAATCCTGCTATCATCACTGCCATGGGAGCTAGAAAGCCTGAGGTGTTGTGGAATACTGAATTCTACAGTACAGTAGTTACTAAATTTTGTGGCTTATTGTTTTGACTGAACTCACCCCTATTCCTTTCTTTTCTCCCATTCTTTTGTGACTTTACAACTTACAGAAGAACAGGTAAATGTGTTATTACAGGAAATCACCACTGAGGGAGGAGATGGGGCTGCCCAACAGTGATTGTAGCAGCTGTTGAAACCTTAAGCTGCTACAGTCAACTGGAGGCTTCTTGCCACATGGGAGATTACTAGAAGAATTAGCAAAATAAGCAGGTTTATAGTCAATTTGCTGTCTTTTGAAACCCATGATTGCTCTCTCCACCCCCTGCCTGCATCTCTTTACTGTTGAAGCTCCCTATCATAGGAATAAAAATTCCAGGTGACACCCAACTCTCATTTGTTTTTACATTCAAGTGACTCTTTCCCCCCTTAATTTCCTCCCTACCGTGTCTTCACTTCATAGTATAAGCATAGCTGCAGACGTTGTTTTACCCCATTCCATTTCGCACAGTGCCTAGCAATTTTCGGTACATTAAAAAGAATATACATGGCATATACAGACCACTGGATTTGTGCTTTTGTAAATGCATAATTATATATTTTCCCTTTCCTTTTAGAACATGCACCACTCACCTGTATCCATTCCTGTCTCCTTGTGCAAGGAAGGAAAAGCACAGGAAACTGGCTTCTACTGAGTCAGAAAAGCACTGCTAGCTCAGTATTGTCACGGACTGGCAGTGACTTGCCAGGGTTTCAGGAAGCAACTACCTGGAGATGCTGGAGATTTACCTGTTGCATGTGACACAGTTGTTCTACTTTCAAGCTATATAGCCCATCCCTCATTCTGCATAAGATGATAGATAGATAGATGATAGATAGATAGAGATAGATAGATAGATAGATAGATAGATAGATAGATAGATAGATGATAGATAGATAGATAGATAGATAGATAGATGATAGATAGATAGATAGATAGATAGATGATAGATAGATAGAGATAGATGATAGATAGATAGATAGATAGATAGATAGATAGATAGATAGATATAGATAGATGATAGATAATAGATAGATGATAGATATAGATAGATAGATAGATAGATAGATAGATAGAGATAGATGATATATAGATAGATATCTTTATTGTCATAGTCCCATACAGAACAATGAAATTGAAAAACTACATAAAACATTCAAAAACCCCTAAAAACTCTAAAACCCCATTTTAAAATACACTATACCATAGAGACCCCTTATGCTGCGTTTAGAACCAGAATTGCATTTGTGTAGAAACTGTTTCTCAGGCAGCTAGTCCTGGCCTTTATAACCCTATACCTTCTTCCAGAAGGCAGAAGCTGAAAGAGATCGTTTCCGGGGTGCGTACTATCCTGCACTATCTCTGCCGCTTTCTTATGGCACCTGGCAGCATAGATTTGATCTAAGGTGGGAAGAGTGCACCCAATTATTCTCTATGCAGTCTTTACAACCCTGGATAGCATTCTTTTTTCCCTGGCCGTGCAGCTCCCAAACCACACACACACAGACCATAACCCAGGCATAGGCAAACTCCGGCCCTCCAGATGTTTGGGACTACAATTCCCATCATCCCTGACCACTGGTCCTGTTAGCTAGGGATGATGGGAATTGTAGTACCAAACATCTGGAAGGCCGGAGTTTGTCTATGCCTGGCATAACCTGATATCACGTGCGTCTCAGGGTATGGTCTGAAGACATGTGAAGCCACCAACTAACTAAAGCCATCAAATCTAACACGCGGGGCAGGGTCACTTTAACCAAAATGTATAATCCGGTATTTGATTAATTTGTATTAATAATTGTATTAATTAGATATTTAATTGTATTAATTAGATAGGCATTGTTATAATGGGGCTATTATTGGAATAATATTGGAAAACTAATTAAAAAAAATTAAAATAATTGCCTTTAGTCTATCTGGCAACTAAGTTCATTTTGGGGCAGAACTTTGAATGATTTCTAGTCCATCTTTGCATTAATTTCTTCCACCACCAAAGGAGGAAGCCCAATCTTAGCTTTCATTAAAAAAGAAGCATGAATCAGACTTGTATAAAGTTAGAAAGCAAAAAGTGAAGGCAATGTTCTAAGCCTTATTAGACAGATACAGAGATGCTGTTGTCTCCAAGGACACTTAATGATTGCTGCTAAGAATTCAGAAGGAATGTGAAGCATTTCCTGTCTCTTCCTCGCTGAAGGGCTTAGCTCTTGTAGGAAAAATGATGTCTTGTACCTTTAACAGCTGTACATCTGGCACAAATTTTAAAAAAGGAAGCCTTTGGACCTTACACTTCTGCACAGCAGCTTGTAAAATTATGAATGCTGAAACTGTTTTGCCAGGAATGAATTTTTTATGAACTAAAATGTTCACTGGACAAACATGAACTGAACTACTGTGTTTTGTAAAAGGACGAACATGAACCGGAACTAATTCATTTTTGGGCAGGATAAGCTTGAACTAGGACGCGGGTCCCCAAAGCCCAGGCAGTACAGCAAATACTGCATGCTCCGATGACATCTGAATTGGACTTTTGTAAACGTGCTCTACAATTCAGAAACTTCAACTGGAAATGCAGTCTACAGATTACAGGCTGGAGTTGAGAAAGGCTGATATAGGGACCTGAACCCAGTTTTCCTTCTCCCAAATCCAGTATTCTAACTGCTATACCACAGTAGCTGAATCTTATAGACGCAGAACTGATTAGGCAAAGTACATATTTGCAGGTTTATATAACTAGCATAATTTATTCCAAGTGCAGAAGATGAGTTTCCTTGGCATACAGTTTGTAATTTTATTTCAGGCACTGATCACCCTGATGAATTGTTATCTTCCCAACACTGCTTAAAACCAAGAGAGGTTATTTCTTCGAATTTTTTTTTTTTAAAAAGGGAGTTGGGTAGCAGTGTAGGGACGGGGTGGGGAGAAATTAAATAAATCCAGAAACAGAAGTATTTTTATAGAGCAAAAATACATACACAGATACAGATAAATTTGTTTTTAATAAAGGAGTTAATTTTCTTTCAATCCTATATAAAACAATAGCAATTAAAAACTTCATTTCTGAAAGTAAAATATTTACATATGAACAAGGAACTGTGCAAAATTTACATGAAAATAAAATGGAAAGACAGGATTTTTATTCCCTAAAAGACGAAATAAAAAGGTGTAACAGTTTGTAGGGTGTTTGATAAAAATACTGATCAGCATTCAGTTTACACACAAAAAGAGTTAAGGTGCAATCCACCGGAAACGCTTCTCGCACAAGGCTCCCTTGAAACCCAATGCCAGTTCATGTCACAGAGCTCCCTTCGCTTCAACAGGATTTGCGCAAGAAGTGTTCACGGTGGCCCCTGCCCTTAAAATCTAACATGAGAGTTCACACAAAGAAAGCCGACATATTTACAGTCATAAAAGTACTATCAATAGACAATTTAATACAATAACCTCTGAAAATATAAAGAACCAATTAGTATATTTGTAATAAAAAAATAGGTACAAAGAGGGGAATTTTGCTCTGGACGTCTTTAAAGTAAGCCCATAGCTTGCATACAGTCTTTTAGCAAAATAATTATAGTTTACATAGCCATTTTTTTTTAATGTTATGTGCCAAAAATTATGTACATTTACTGACAAAATACACCAACCATTTTTCAACACTTGATTTCACACTGAGAAACTGTCTTTTTTGATGATTCCTCTCAACTTTGATTTTTATTTAATCTAAGCTTTCACTTTCGCTAAAAAACACAGTGCAAGTAAAATATATTTATGCTGAAAAGGTTTTTTCTTTTTTTCCTTTTTCCATTTTTTGTTTTAAACTTTACAGCTTTACAAACTATAGCAAATAAAATGCATTTCTTTTTTTTCTTTTTCTATTTTTACAGATGCTGATACAACATTCAGAAGTAACCCTCCTTTGTGGGCCTTCAGAGTGGGGGGTTGCCTCTAATAAGCGATAATAACAAGATTAAAAGAATTGAGGTTACGCTTAAAATTAAGTGTAATCTAGGATCTGAACAATTTTGGGCAGGAAAAGATAAATATTTATTAAAATCAGTTCGCTTTGCTAACTGACTCCATTTAAAAGCTAAAATAAAATGAGGTCATCTGCTGTAGACATATACCTATATAATCGATCTCGTTAAGTAAAACTGAACTAAAATGCACAATTAATGTTGAAATTGCTACAGGATCTGACACAGAGTAGCTGGTTATTTGCTAAACGGTTCCATCAGTCTCTATAATATGGCTTGTTTGGCAAGAAGGCCACTCAATCAAAGAGATGAGTTAAACTTTAAATTGTCCTCTTATCGACTCCTCAGGCCTTTGCAAGTCTCCTTACTGTCAAAGAAAGGGATCTCTCTCTTACACCAAAGAGTTTATAATAAATGGGACTAGAAAACGGTTCCTTGTAAAGAGGTGGTTGTCTCAGAGTGGTGGTGGTGATGGTTTGTTGATGGGGTGGGTGTTTTTTTTAAACAGTATCCCATATGCTCGTTACAAAAAGGCGTAATCTGCAAATATATATAAAAAAAAGTGTCCCCAGGTGTCTTCTCCGCCAAAAATACCTTGATGTTCTCCACTTTTTTTACTTAAGGAATGCTTTGTATAGCAATAGTGAATGGCTTGTCTCTCGCTCATTTTCTAAACATAATATGAGGTCCCTGAGGTTCACCCGCGTTATCCTTTGTCGTGTAAACTGCCTGGCTGTTCCGACTCCAGAGCTGCCTGCCACTGCCACACTCGTGCTGGATCCCTGAAAACAGAAAGAAGAGAAGTTAGTTTATTTTCCAAGCCCTCAGAGAATAATTGGAGGCGGCGGTGGCAGAAGCTGTGTGGAATACAGTGTATGTGAACAGGGCAATGGGTTAGTTCTCTGAGCTAGCAGTATAGCTGAATAACCTAGACAGCATCTTAAAAAGCAGAGACATCACCTTGCCGACAAAGGCCCATATAGTTAATGCTATGGTCTTCCCAGATGGTTGGACAGTGTTCTCGAAGCTACGAGCATGAGTTTGACCAAACTGCGGAAGGCAGTGGAAGACAGGAGTGCCTGGCATGCTGTGGTCCATGGGGTCATGAAGAGTCAGACACGACTAAACAACAACAACAATCTCTTAGAAAGTTCCCTCTATGTCAGGGATGGGAAGCTTAAATGGCTTCAGCCCTATATACTCGAAGGAGCATCTCCACCCCAATCGTTCAGCCCATACTCTGAGGTCCAAGTTCCGAGGTTACAATGAACCAGGCAGAGGGCCCTCTTGGTATGATGATGATGATGATGATGATTTATTTATTATTTATACCCGCCCATCTGGCGGGTTTCCCCAGCCACTCTGAGCGGCTCCCAACATAATATATAAAAAAGCGACAAAACATCAAACATTCAAACCTTCCCAAAACAGGGCTGCCTTCAGATGTTTTCTAAAAGTCAGAGCTGAACGATGGGGTGGAGACGCTCCTTCAGGTATACTGGGCTGAGGCTGTTTACGGCTTTAAAGGTCAGCATCACACTTTGAATTGTGCTCGAAAACATACAGGCACACAGGTAGTTGTGCCTGCCCTGTGGAATGCCCTCCCATCAGATGTCAAGGAAATAAACAATCCTTGACTTTTAGAAGACACCTGAAGGAAGGACTGGATAGGGGAGTTTTTAACTCATAGAACTCTAGCCCAATGGTTGCCATTAATTTGATTCTGAATTGATTTTCGAATGAATTGATTTTAGAATGTATTTCAATTAATTGATTGTGGTTTTATGTAAACTGTGTTACTTTTACTGTTGTTAGCCACTCTGAGCCCGGCTTCGGCTGGGGAGGGCAGGATATAAATTTTAAAAAATATTATTATTCACGTTTGATGTTTTACTGTGTTTAATTTGTTGGAAGCCACCCAGAGTGGCTGGAGCAACTCAGTCAGGTGAGTGGCTTATAAATATGTTGTTGTTGTTAGCTATTATAGCTAGTTCTTCCCACCTACAGTTCCTGTTTGCTGCCTCTTCTGCAAATGCCTTCTAGGTTCCTTGCCATTTCTGCAGCCCCCTTTCAGTAAAGTAGCTTTCATTTCTTATCCTGACAACAACCCAGTAAAGTGATTAGACCGCAGGACTCTCTGCATGACTTTTATGGTAATACAAATGACTTGGCTCAAGGCTCTCTAAATGGACAGGTTTCAGCTTGGCCCTACCTAAAACAAACAACACTTTATATACTATTACACCAGACTGGCTCCAGGGTGCGTGAGCATCCATCAACATTTTAGAAGACCTCTGGACTTTTATCCCACCTCGCGTAGTGGTCAATTTGTTTGTTTGTTTGTTTTACTGGAGTAATTTCTACCCTGAACTTTGTGTATCAAGAGAGATGTGCAAGGTGGCTTGTAACAATAAAAAGAGTGATGCGAAAATAATTAAAGCCATTAAAACAGAAATAAAATGGGGAACAGAGACAGAAGGTAAAAAGCTAATGCAATTTTGCAGAACACTAAAGACATGAACAGCACAGATTAAATACCTGTGGCATAGAACTGAACCATTCTTAGAATGATGCTAGTCTGCCTTAGCATCAGCGGACCAACATCTGTTTCATAAGTCATTATAAAGACACACTCATAGGGGCAGCATTATCCAGGGGACGTCTGTCCCCAGACACCCAAAGCATCATGGGAACACGGAATCCACATAGGAGTCGGAGGAAAACTAAGGCACATTCTGTGATTTTCAATCCTCTGGGGTGTCTTTTTAACAAGCACTGAACATTCATTTTTTGTTGTATTATGTACAAGGTAAATGAGGCGACATAACAATTTCCGGGTCTTCAGGGAATGGAATCCTGCAACTACTGGATGATTCCCCTCGCCACCACCCCGACAGTGAGAATGCTTCATGATGTTATCACCCAGCAAAGGCCTACCTATGAGTGCATCTATAGCACTTAGAATCATAGAATTGTAGAGTTGGAAGAGACCCAATGGTCATCTAGTCCAGGCATAGGCAAACTCGGCCCTCCAGATGTTTTGGGACTACAACTCCCATCATCCCTGACCACTTGTCCTGTTGGCTAGGGATGATGGGAGTTGTAGTCCCAAAACATCTGGAGGGCTGAGTTTGCCTATGCCTGATCTAGTCCAACCCCTACAATGCAGGAACCTCAGCTAAACCATCCATGAGAGATGGCCAATTCAACCTCTGCTTAGAAACCTCCAACGAAGAAGGTCTTTGAAGAGAACAGAAGTTATCTGGCTCGCTGCAAGAGTCTCAGCTTTCTGCTTCCAAAGAGGTCAGGCCTATATTCAAGCTGGGGCTGATGAGAGTTGCAGTCCAAAATATCTCAAGGGTACCGGGTTGGCGAAGGCTGGCCTAAGCAAATGCCAAAAGGGAGTGGTGGGCCCAAGATTTGCAAATCTTACAGTGGCAGTAAAAAGCTGAGTGCCCGAGTCAGTTAAGGGTCAGAGACTGGGGAGCTCTGGTTATCGCTATCACTGGCATTATAAGCTGAATGTATGGATGTGGCAAGACATTGAACCTGTGCTGTAAGATATCAGCCCATTCGAAGCCAACGCAGATCTGCTTGTAAAAGCCACAAAGCACAAGGCGAGCTTGAGGCACAAGCAGTTGTTTGGGGAAGGTACAAAAAACTCCCTCGGTCCCTGGTCTCCACCCACATCTCAGCTTCTATACAGCCCAGGAAGCCAACCGGACGCTTTCAACCAGCCTAGATAGTTTACAGCCAGCTTCAGTGACCAGCTTATGATATGAAAAACTATTCAAATAGATGGTGCCCCATGTTTACAGCCTTTTATGAGCACAGCCCTTTTGGCTAAGAGCATGACCATTTTGCAAATACCGTACTTTTCCATGTATAAGACAAGTTTTTTTACTGTAAAAGAATGTTCAAAATCGGGGCTCGTCTTATCCATGGGTAGTGCAAAGGGGGGGATGGGCGATTGGTTGCAGCCGTGAGCAGAAGGTTGACAGCGGCGACTGGGTGGGTGATTGGTGGCTGTGGCAAGGGCTGCTGTGGATTGGCTTATGCTGCGGCAATTGTGCATGCGCTTCCTGGCTGCTGGGCAGATGCTTTTTGGCTTTTGTGACGCATGGGGGCGTCTTAAACACAGAAAAATATGGTGAATGTCAGGCAGAAGCAACTGCTCCAATCCACAATAAACATGACTATCAGTTACTGAGGGCAAATTTGTTTAACAGTATACTATTTAGCAAAAGCTCTGCATTTTTTAAAAGGCGGTGAAAGGAACAGCAGGGGCTATAATGGCACAGTTTTGGAAGTCATATACTAAGATTACATCACTTCTCATATTGTGTTGTTGTTGCTGTTGTTGTTGTTGTTGTTTATTGAATTTGCATACCGCCCTTCATCCGCAGATTAAGACTACAGAAGCAGCACATAGCTTTTGTTTCGTAAAATCATTACTAAAAGGTAAGTCAACTTAACAAACACAAAGAATATGAGTGAGTTATCGCATCGGAAGAGACAGGAGGTTTTGCAGCATCTCCTCATTGTCTTGGAATGCATGTGGAGAGGCAGTAATGAGCTGAGACCAGCAGGTGGCATATATAAACCAGAGAATTTGTCTCTGCTCTGATTTTTCTATATTAAAAAGAAGAAGAAGAACCACCAAGGGAGATATACCACCTGGAAAGACTGCTAATTGGTGTACAAGTTGAAGTTGCAGTTTGCACAAACTGAGCAGCTGCGGTTTAGTACCATTTGCCTTAGCAGGGTCATATTCGAGAAAAATATTAGGATTATTTTTTTAGTGCACAGTGGTACTGTCCTCCCACTCTTTGACCTTCTTTTCCTGATACACTGTAGTGCCCCAGCAGGGTCCCGTTCATTCACCGCTCCAGCCCCCAGGATCACGATCCATCTGCCCCCTCCTTCTTCAATGTGCAGCCTCGTCTAACAGTGTGACCAAAGGCTCACATACCTGAAATCTATCCCTGCCAAATTCTTCACTCCAAGCCCCTTGCTTTACACAGGACCACCCCGCTTCCAGAAAGCAACATGCTTAAAAGTACAGTGGTACCTCAGGTTAAGTACTTAATTGGTTCCGGAGGTCCGTTCTTAACCTGAAACTGTTCTTAACCTGAAGCACCACTTTAGCTAATGGGGCCTCCTGCTGCCGCCGCGCCGCCAGAGCACGATTTCCGTTCTCATCCTGAAGCAAAGTTCTTAACCTGAAGCACTATTTCTGGGTTAGCGGAGTCTGTAACCTGAAGTGTATGTAACCTGAGGTACCACTGTAGAAACAAACTCAAAAGGCTTGAGAAACATTGCATATATCTGCCCAAATACCGACTCAAGGTACAAATTAATTTGTCCAGGTAAAACCTGGGCTTTTGACATCATCTCGGATATTGAACATCATATCCACAAGCTAATTGTGCAATTACATTTTCTTGGCTTTTTTCCCCCTTTTCCTTTTTTTGCTTTGCTTACAGGTGACTTATTAAGGTCCGACATTCCTTGGATATCAGCACGCTAGTCTGATCGGAACCAGTTTTGGTAATACTGTTTTAACTGCAAGAAAAACACCCCCACCATGTGTGCATGCACCAAGAGAGAGACAAGGGGAGCTCAGTTTAAAAATGTCAACTGCAGCAACAGCAGCTGCACAGCTGCGAGTCAATTAGATCCAAAGCAGCTGGTTCTTAATTAAGCAAACAAAAGCTTCGATTTAGGACATTTGGCTATCCAGTAACACATTAAACTAAGGTAACTAAATTGATCACAGTTTGCTAATATGCAAACAAGAATTTCTAATGAATGGAAAGCAGATTCCATATACTGAAGGGCATATGAAGTGAAATGTTCGTGTGTACTGTGGTACCTCCGGTTATGAACTTAATTCGTTCTGGAGGTCTGTTTTTAAGCCGAAACAGCTTGTAACATGAGGTGCGCTTTTGCTAATAGTGCCTCCTGCTGCTGCCGTCACGCGACTTCCGCTCGCATCCCAGGGCAAAGTTCGCAACCTGGAGCATCTACTTCCGGGTTAGCGGAGCTCATAACCTGAAGCATTCGCAAGGAGGACAGTACGTAACACAAGATCCCACTGTATGCCTGTAGGGGTGTGTGTGTGTGTGTGTGTGTGTGTGTGATCCTAATAGCCCACATAGTATTTTAAATCTATCTTGGATAAATATGTAGGAACTAAATTAAACTGCTTTCAGACACAGCAATGTAGGTCCACTTAGCAGTGACCTGCCCCTGGAGAGGAACAACTGTGGTAAGGCTTCATGATACAATGTACTGGGGGACCAATGCTATACTCAGGTATTGGGGAACCTCCGGTCCAGGGTCCAAAGGCACCCTCCAGAAATCTCTGACTGGCCTTTGAGACTCTGGCTAAGCCATGCTCCCTCCCCCAGTCAATCCTGCTTCGGGTCCTCGGCTGCTTTTGCCTGGCTGGCACTGTGCTAAGACTCTTGCTTGCCTGAATGGAGAGATGTGTGAATGTTAAAGGTAAAGGGACCCCTGACCATTAGGTCCAGTCGTGACCGACTCTGGTCATCTCGCTTTATTGGCCGAGGGAGCCGGCGTACAGCTTCCGGGTCATGTGGCCAACATGGCTAAGCCGCTTCTGGCGAACCAGAGCAGCACAGAGAAACGCCCCCGCCAGAGCGGTACCTATTTATCTACTTGCACTTTGACGTGCTTTCGAACTGCTAGGTTGGCAGGGGCAGGGACTGAGCAACGGGAGCTCACCCCATCGCGGGGATTCGAACTGCCAACCTTCTGATCGGCAAGCCCTAGGCTCTGTGGTTTAACCCACAGCACCACCCGAGTCCCATGTGAACATTCATCTCCCATTTATACTGTACCGAAGAAAGCAAGCTTCACACCCATTGCTCCACCCATTTTTGCCCCTGGCACCACCCACCACTGGAACATGGCCTACAGCATGGAGCAGCTGGACACAGACTTCCAAAATGACGCAATGGGCATGTTGAAGTCCTTCTTTTTAACGGTATCCTTATCCCGAACGAACTAAAAAAGAAGATCACTTCTGCACCTCCAATCAGGGAGTAGGTGCTATTGCTCAATAAAAACTAAATATTCTTCTTTACCCAGGCCCTTTACCTTCCCGCCAGAGTGGTACCTATTTATCTACTTGCACTTTGATGTGCTTTTGAACTGCTAGGTTGGCAGGAGCAGGGACCAAGCAACAGGAGCTCACCCCGTCTACTACTGTCTCATACTGTGCAACTGCTGCTCTGCCCCAGGCAGGAATTCAACAGGTTCCACTAATACACACTACAGAACTAGAAGAGTGCATCTGCTCAATTTCTGCCTCTAATTAAAGTCTCCGTTAGAAGAGAAAATGGAAACTTGTTTCAATGAGCGTTGTCCAAATTCCTATTCGCAGGAAAGCCTGCAACATAAAAATCATTTTTGTCAAGTGTTATGCGGAAGAAGATGAACTTCAAAGCCCATTTTCTTCCACTGCTGCTACAGCAATAAAGAAAACAAATTGGCAGAGATATCTGCTTTTATATTAATAAAGGTTTTCTGTGAGGCATCTGGAATTGCAGATCAGATATATTGAGGCTCCAACCCTTTGTTTAAGGGAACTACAACCATTATGAAGCATTCCAGAGGTTACATCTCACACACAAAATGCCAACTTTATATCCTGTTTCACATCAAGAAAGATTATTATTTTTTGCACATTCTGCACCACTAAGAAAAGACAGATGAAGAAAAAAATCTGCTCCAACACATCTTGAAATTATCAGTCCAAAGACATTGAGATCAACTCAACAGTAAAGCCTCTTAAAATATTATGCCTGTCAGAACTTACACAGTTGTAAGAAAGAACATGGCAGATAGGTTTAAAGAAATTTAAGATATATAGTAAAAGGCACCCAAGGGTAATTAAATGATGTGCAGCAGGGGGGCAGGAAAATGTATCAGCAATGAGACTTGCAACTTGCATAGGTGGTGCACGCTTTGTTAAACTTGGGGTGGCTAATTCTAACTCTTACACCCGCAACAAGAAAATCTGTGTTGGGCAATTTCAGTTTAGTCTGAAACTGCACCAGAGCTATCAGAAGTCTAGGATCCAATGATGTACAAACAGAGTTGTAGTCTTGTACCTCTGTCCCTGATCCAGAGCCTGGGGAATCCACTTTCCTCTTCTTTCTGGGTCCTATTGCAGCCAAGGCAGTCAAGTTGGCATCCCTCTGTCTCATTTGTGCTAGTTCCTGTTGCTGCATCTGTGTTTGGCAAAACAGAAAAAGTCACCGTTTTCCTTGGTGTTTTTACTCTCTCCTGTGCTAGTTTTGGAACGCAGTCATTATTACGCAGGTGAAAATGTAACAAATGCAGCACTGAGACGATAAATACGACAGGCGGTTTGGGGGGGAAAACATACCTCCTTGGCTTTCTGTTTCAACCTAAGCTGCTCTGGGTCTTCTTGTCTAGATCGAGACTGTGTTGATGAAGAATTTCAAAGTGGCAGCAGGGAGAAGGAGAGGAGAGACAAAGTAAGGAAAAAAAGAGAATAAATCAGAGACATTTTAAAAATGTGTACTTGGCTATAACATATGTTTCGTATTTTAACTATATTCCAAACATAGATTAATGAGTTATTAGTTATTGCATTCATCTTGCACTTAATCCTACAAGGAGCTCAAGGTGGTATGCATGGTTCCACACACACGCACACACACACACCCCCATTTAATCTCCACAACGACCCTGTGAGGTAGGTGAGAAAGCTGAGGATTAGAGGCACTGACTGGCCCAGTTTCACCCACAGCGCTTCATGGCCAAGTAGGGATTTGAACCCTGGTCTCCTAGGTCCTAGTCCAACCCTAGCACATGCTCAGATTTTCAAATTTAAGATGATGAGCTACCACACTGGTGGCTGGGAGAGTGAGGAAGAAACAGACTGGGTCCAGCCAAATACCCAGGCACCCACCTCAAGCTCTGGCACAGTTCTATTTAAGAAAGAAAGGAGTCTGAATGGAGGGTTTTCCCCTTTCACTTGATAATTCTTTGGTGATTTCTGGTGTCCGGATGACTTCAGATCCAATGAACCTAATATAGGTATTCTGATCTCCTAGCAAATTGTGGAACTCAATGTCTCTCACGCTTTGGGTATTAGACAGGCTGCTGGACTCTCCATTATACACAGCAATGAAGTCTAGCAGTAACTTATTTTTCACACTTGTATCTTGGCTCTTCCGTGAAGGATCCGAGAGTGGCATACAGGGGGTTATCCGTTGAAGGAGCGTCTCCACCCCCATCGTTCAGCCTGGACACTGAGGTCCAGCTCTGATGGCCTTCTGGTGGTTCCCTCACTGTGAGAAGTGAGGTTACAGGGTATGAGGCAGAGGGAGTTCTCGGTAGTGGCACCAGCCCTGTAGAATGCCCTCTCATCAGATGTCAAGGAAATAAACAACGAACTTTTAGAAGACATCTGAAGGCAGCCCTGTTTAGGGAAGTTTTTAATGTTTGATGTTTTATCATATTTTTAGTATTCTGTTGGGAGCCACCCAGAGTGGCTTGGGGAAATATTATTTATTATTATTATTATTATTATTATTATTGATTATCCTCACAACCCTGTGGGTTGAGAAACATGCGTAAAATTTCCAGTTGTGCAATGGAATTTTCTCTTCCTCTGCAGGCCCTGCACACCCACAAAATCTGCTCCTGGGGGGCTGCAGGACAATCTGGGGGGCAGCACAGGGAAAGGAGAGGACAAGGAAGTTAGTAGAGTGCAAGTGGAACTCTACTAACGCAGTGTTGGGTATCACCCACAGTGACTGGCCTAAAGTCACCCAGGGAGTTTCGTGGCTCAGTCCGGATTCAAACCAAGAAGCAAAGCTCTCACTGGATTTGCGCCTCCATAAGGAGAAAGCGGGAGGTTCCACGCTACCCCTTTCGTGCCTGGTTTTACAAAATGCATTTGCATGGGGCATTTTGCTTCTCTTTGAGCCATCATTGAGAGTGCAAAATGTTATTCGGTTCAATCTCCCCGTTCAAGGGAGTACAAAGCGTTTTCCACTTCAGTTTCTGGGTTACAGTTCTAGGCCGGGATCCAAGGAGCCCACTTAGACCTGAGGAAGTATTCCCATCCACACCAGAATCCTCCAGCTGTTTTCACAGAATCGTAGAGTTGGAAGGGACCAAGAGGAATCTTTTTTGTAATATGATGCTCGAATCCATGAACCTGAGATTAAGAGCCTCATGCTCTACCAGAGTGCTGCTGGGGGCGATTTCAAAAATTGCTGGGAGTGGCTTCTGGATGATGAAGGACACCGACACACCCTCCCCCCAAAAAGGTGGTGGTGGCCACTGTGTGGATGAAGCTCGACATACAGTCCTTTTGTGGTTCTGGACTAAAGACAGCATGCAAAAGAGCAGCATCACACTGTGTGGCATTTAGGGTTAGGAGAAGAGCCTCCCGTCTCATTTCACAGCCAGGAGAACAAAAGAACCGCGGCTCTTTCAACGTCAAATGCAACACTTGTCAATCTATTAGGGGTGAAAAACAACAACAAAGCACTTGCCTTTGCTGCGCGCATTAGAATTTCCCTTTCTTGTTCATCTTTCCGCTGTTTTTCTATTTGATCAAGTTGTTCAAAGAATTTGAGTTGCGCCCGAACATCACTTGCTTGTTCGTATCTTTCATCATCCTAAAAAATGTGGTGAAATGGTTTTCATTAGGAAAAAATGGGGGGGGGGTGTCACAAAGCTGCTCAATTGTACTGCACAGCTAAAAGAGAGAATGTATATATGTGTGTGTGTGTGTATGTGTGTGTGTGTGTGTATATATATATATATATATGCAGGTTTACATAACATGCGCGCAACACACACACACCTATATTAAAGCTAGAATAGTTCACTTAGTTTGTCTCATAACAGCCAGTTAATCTTTAACTCATACAGCTGGGCTAAAAACGTGTTATTGTTTTGTTTTTTTAATTCAACAACTTTGTTCTATGATCAGGGTCTATGAACGTTCAAGTGATTTTTCAGCTTCCTTTTCAAAAAAGATTCTTTTCCCCCTAAAGCCCAGTTTCTTTAAGTGATGGAAACCTGTCAAGTCAACTCAAGAATATCTGATACTTATCCTTCTTTTAATATATTACACAATTTCATTTCCAGAGCTTGGTCTAAGGCAGAAAATATAGGACAGCCAGTAGATCAGGCTAACGGTTCATCAGTTCCTCTCTTTTGTGTCAGATAATGGCTGGAGATGGATTTTGAGAAAGCATGTAATGGCACAGACTATCAAGACAACCATTGCCTAATCTCCCGTCCAGTCCAGTGTTGAGCCAAAATAAGTTTAGGGATACTCCAACCATAAGTAAGTCCAATTTTGACTTTGTCTGCTAATAGCTTTTTATTTTCAAGTCGGTCCTTTCCATGGAGTAATTCCAGCAGCAATGAGTTCCACCATTCAGCATCATGTAGTATTTGGGGGGGGGCAGGGAACAGAGGGGAGGGCAGGACTACAGGAGGCAATATTAACCAGGCAATTTTGGGTATACAAATAAAGCAAATTTAAAAATTGCCACCACAAACAACACACCCATTCTCTTCCCTCTGAGACTATAACAGCTCAGTTAATGAAGCTTTGAAAACAGCGCCATGTGATACACCTGCAACTCAGGGAACTGTAAGAATTTGGGGGTGAAGCTGAAGGCAACACAACTGTCAAAAGAACATCCATCAATGGGAGGTTTTACACAAAATCTGTCATTGGCCAGTGAGAAAGAAATCCCCTAGAGATCCACTTCACCCAGAATGACAAACCATGGCTTTTCATTACGAGGTTGTGAGACTTGTGTATTCCCTCCTATCATTCTTGCTTCCTTTGTACATGAGGGGAGGAGATTAGAAGCCTCCACTTCTCATTTGCTATTTCAGCAGAATATACCAAACGATGGTTTGCCCTCAAGCCAGGATTAAACCAGGGTGTGTACATAAATATAAACTTTAGGAGAAAATTCAGAATCATCATCACCCTCTCCCAATTTTATCCACCCTGCACTGCCCGCTTCTTAATGCAGTGGATAAATATATCTGATTTCTCATCATACCTGACATCACCTCCATTGGTTTCATTTCAAAGTGCAAGAATTTGCCACTAAAAGGACCAAACAGGAGCTAAACCTAGCCAACGATTGCTTAAATCTGCCCATTTATTTATCTATTTAATGAAAGGCATGCCGACTTCAAAAGAAATTTAAGAATTTAACTTGAAAGCAGGTTTCAATAAGCCAAAGTAGCTTTTCCTCTCCCCCCCCCCCCATCCATGCAACAGTGTTTTATGTCCCAAGAAGCAGCCCTGGCATAGTTATTAAAGAGGAAAAACATTCCTGTTGTTGCTTTATTCCCATAATGCCTCCATTGTCACAGCAAAGACCGTGTCTACAAACACTTGATTTCTTCAGGCCTGGATACTTTTCTTCACCACCATGAGGTTCTCTGCTGCTAGGAAGCCTACAAAAGCTGTAGATCACTGGCTAGAAACTGGCTAGAATTCCTGGGATTGCATCTGAGCTCATTAAACCAGAGCTCAAAAGAATACAAGTTGCCAAACCTTCTCACTGTCGGTAAGACTATTTACCTTATAAGACATATTCTTTTGCTGGGCGGTCTCCGATACCTTCTCAACCAGGTTTTGTAACCTTTGCTGCGTTGCGTGCGATACGTAGCTAACTACATCGGGGTGGATTTCCGTTATTCCATGCTTCTTACCTGTGTTTCCAACAAAAGCAAAGGCATTCAGTAAGAAACCTAGGCAGCCATTGCCGATTCAGAGCCGAGTTCACATAAAGAATCACATTACTTGGTTTCTTGTTGGTTGACTTGCCACTGAATGTGTGCAACGACTCCACTGGAAAGCACTGAGCTTATGGTGATTCAAAAGTTCTACCAATAGTGTCTGACCTGTGATGGCCCTTTCCTACCTACTTAACACCACCTGATACTGCAGCCCCCAAAGCGATGGCTATGCATACACAAAAAGCCCCCCAAAACAATTCACATAATGTGACTTACAACCCAAGAGCCCCATACAGCTGCTTTTCTCAAACAAAGCTCAGCAATTTACTACAGTACTATGCACCAACACAGCTAATGTTTTTGGGTTTCCTAGCCAAGTGGATTGCGCACCTATTGAAGTATGTGTACTACTTAACAGTGATATTAATTAGTTTCATTTCATTACCCTTTTATTTGCAATGGGATTCATGAATCTCACTGTGATGCTTTTTGGAAAAGAGGTGTGTGAGGAAGGACACTATGACCTTCATTTTAAAGATGGCAAATACCTAGCGACTGAAATACCCATATATTATTTATTAGCATTATATTTATACCCCGCCTTTTTCCCTGACAGGACTCGAGGCAGTTTACAGATTTTTTTCAAAGGCCATGCAGCAATTTAATCCTAGATCTCCTAGGCCCAAGCCTACAACTCTAATCGCCGCATTACAATCTATTTCTCCAAGTATGAAAAGTTGTTTACAACAAGCAACAACTTTTGCTAGAAAGGGAAAGACGGAAGGAACACTTGGTAGCCTGCTATAGAAGCCTGATAATTATGCTTAGCTGATGATTGATACATAGCTATGACATAACATCTAATGGAAATGTGGTGTGTGTGTGTGTGTGTGTGTGTGTCTGTACTTGTGTGCACAAATTCATTCTGCTTTGCTGCCTGTTAGGTGCAATTGTTCTGTACAGGGCAAGTCACAAAGTTGCAGCAGCAAAATACATGTTATCCCACATTGATATCCTCCACAGGGAAGCTGTAGCCAATTTGGGTTCCTGATAGCTTGAAACCAGGTTGTCCGTGTTGTTTTTTTGTGTTTGTTTTTTTAAAAAACAGGGTGTCTGAAACACAGAAGCTACTTTTCTGGTGTGTAAAACATGGGAATATTTTTAAAGCTACTATATAAAAAGAGTCTCCGAATCACTGTACCTAATGCAGATGGCTCTCAGTGGCCTTTAAAGATAGCACATAGACAACTGGTGCCTTTGTCCCATCCACCCCTCATTCTCTATCCAGTTTTGCTTAATAGAATGAATCTGTGTGTCACATCTAAGCTGTGCTCAATATGGGCTGCCACTGCTGGAACAGTAACATCATCACGTGGAACCATAAAAGGATGGAGTCGCTTCGTATCACCAATCGGGCCATTATGCTGCCGAGGTTCACAGCAACTCACCTATTTCGAGTATCCTTCTTTGCAAAGGTGCCGGGAGTAGAAAGGTTTCATCTTTACACGACCTTGTTAATGTGCCGACCAACTCAGAATTCGTGGCCAGTATACGTGCACTCTCTTCTGATAGATTAACTCCTGCCATGGATGCGACATCATTGATATCATCGTCATCCCTTCAGAAAGAGGGAACAGTAGATTCAAAATAAGTAATTTTTTTTAATCTGGAAATTTCCAAAAATGCCAGGAATTTGCAAAACAGAGAACTGTATTCAATGAGCAGCTGAATAGATACTGGGAGGGCGGGGGCAGCAAAAACAAAGTGAAGGGCATTTTGCAAAACAATACGGAATTTAAATGTGATTGTATTGGCTCAAATCTGGATATTTTTAGAGACACTGCCACTTGGTGCAAGGCAACTCTGGTTCTCTCCCAATTTTATCACATTCCAGAGGGTCTTAAGCAGCCTTCTTCAAACTTGGCCCTCCAGATGTTTTGAAACTACAATTCCCATCATCCCTGACCTGCTAGCTAGGGATCATGGGAGTTGTAGGCCCAAAACATCTGGAGGGCAGAGTTTGAGGAAGCCCGGTCTTAAGAACGGAAGGCGAGCTTGCTGGATCAGGCCAATGGTCTATCTAGTCCAGCATCCTGTTCTCACAGTGACCACCTAGATCCCTGTGGAAAACTAGCAAACAGGACTCAAGCACAGAAGCACTCTCCCCACTGTGGCTTCCAGCACTCCATCGACAAGTGGGAATGGCAATTGGATGGAAGACTCGAGAAAGCCCCACTGCATGAAAAAAGGTCTTCTTGGCTATCTCTGGATCCAACCCATAGTAAAATATTGAGAGTATCAAAAGTAAACTGAATCCAGCAAAACTACAGAACTTCACTGAAAGATGAAATGTGGACATTTCTTGACATCAATAAAGACTGTTGTCGAAGGAAGAAACCTTAACGAATATGAATAATCAAAAGGCGTGGTTCAAATTTATGCAAATAAGGCATTAACGTGTCAGTAGATTTTCCAATTAATAAATTGGGGGGGGGCCTGGGGGAGAATGAAAGACAATCCATAACAACAACAACAACGGGAGTCCTGTGTGCAATGCCTATTTGTGTGTTCGATAGTGTCTACTATTCACAAGATGGATAGTAACGTGATTATAAATTTGATGAGAAAATACACACTTTAGGTTTTCAGCTAGGGGGTAACCTAACGTATCATTCTAAAATCCATAAGTGAGCTGCACCTTCAATAGGCCAAGTAAAATGTCACAAAACGTCTAAGCGCCACAAGAATCATCACTCTAGATCTGCCATCATCAATTTGGACTACAACTCCCTTCAGTGCTGATGGGAGTTATGGCCTAAAATTATGGAGGGCAGTAAGTTAGCAAAGGCTATGTTAGAAGGTAAGTGGTAGGTGGGAGAGAAAATCAGAGGGGCAGAGAGAGAGATTTGGCTCGTGGTAAAGCTGTGAGTTTGCATCTATGCAGGCAAAAATGTGAAACCTGCACAGAGCCTTCCCTCACACTCCACTTTGAGACAAGGTATAGTATCAGCTTTATCAGCAGCTAACTATTTTCCCTCTCCCTTCTTTACCATCTAGCCCAATGAAGAGTGCCGGACTTGCAAGCTTGCACACTATTTTATAACAGTTTGGCCTAATAAAGGTGTCGCCCTAAATGCAGAGATTTTGAATTTTTCTTCTTCCCATAGACTAACAAGAATAACATCACTTTTCCTCTAACATATCCTGCTAGAGTAAAAGGAGTGAGTCATGGGTTACATGAATTATTGGGATTCTAAAAAATAATTCTCTGAAGAGCATCTATTGCTTTTTGCACACGGTTCATAATCTCTATTGTTTTGGGGTCTGGCAACATGAATGTTAACACAAAGAAAACTGATCGCCGGAGAATTGATGCTTTTGAATTATGGTGCTGGAGGAGACTCTTGAGAGTCCCATGGACTGCAAAAAGATCAAACCTATCCATTCTGAAGGAAATCAACCCTGAGTGCTCACTGGAAGGACAGATCCTGAAGCTGAGGCTCCAATACTTTGGCCACCTCATGAGAAGAGAAGACTCTCTGGAAAAAACTCTGATGTTGGGTAACATTGAGGGCACAAGGAGAAGGGGACGACAGAGGACGAGATGGTTGGACAGTGTTACAAAAGTGACCAACATGAGTTTGACCAAACTCCGGGAGGCAGTGGAAGACAGGAGTGCCTGGCGTGCTCTGGTCCATGGGGACACGCAGAGTCGGACACAACTAATCGACTAAACAACAACAACAACATGAATGTTATGTGGACACCGACAGAAGGTGACAGAGCTCAGCATCCACAGGCTAGATTAGCAGTTCTCAAACTGTAGGGCTGAGGGAATGAGACAGTTGGAAGAAAGAACGGTATAACAGACTGGGGGTCAGGAATCAAGGAGGAAGAGATGGGGTGGCTCAGCTCATTGACTTCCCCAGGTCCAGCAGGGGGAGCTGTTGCCCAGCAACAAAATAAATATAACTGATATCCAGGTCAAGCCTAGCTTCCTGTGTGCTGGTACTACTGCCCTTTCCTTCCCACAGGAAAGAAGAATAAGCAAGATGTGCTGCTCTCTGGTTCCAGCTGTGCATTTTATACCCATTGCATGTAAGTTGACCTTTTCATGGGAACTTAAGCTAGGGGCTAATCTTTCCCTCTCAATCTTAAGCCACCTGGAGACTTAAGCTAGGGGCTACTCATTCCCTCTCATACTTAAGCCACCTGGAGAAAGAGAGAAAGGTGGATGGGGGTAGGAACTGAAGACCACTTCCATCATCATATCTGTGGGGAGGGAAAATCAGTGGTGTATTGAGATGGAGGAGTAGAAAAGAAGAATGCTTCCTTGGTCCCCATCTCGCTTGGGGTTTCTTCTCTCTTTGTTGCCCCTAAAATCAGGAAGGGCTTTCAGACCACTCCATCTCTCCTTCTCTTTTTTAAAAGGTATGTTTGGCGAATACGTTCTCCCCACCAGAGAATGGGTTCTTCCCGGATTTCCCCCTTCCTGCTGCCTCACGGAAGTGGGAGGACATGTAAGAAAGGGGTCATCGCTGCCTGGATTCCAGAAAGCGGTTTGAGAGGACGCTGGACCAGCAGTTACGTAACAAATAGATAAATACAGAATCGCAGTAAATCGTTTCCTGCTGTAAGACCAGAATGAGCTCTAGCTTAAATTTGCTAATCCAGATAAGAAGGATATTTAAAAAGTAGCTCAGGTGTCTATTTTATTCCCTGGGTGCACTACAAATAGGCTGGGAGCCGGCTAGGTCTGAGAAAGGGGAAACAATTAAAGGCATCACCTAGCAAAATCTTCACACTACGACGAAATCGAAGTATCTGGTGTATGAACAGGGGTCGTCATGGATTCCAGGATTCTACGGCCTCCTGACAAATCTCTTGCGAAGAATGCACAGATTACTGTACCTTTAACAAATAAACTCCCCCACGCGTTCTTTGCGAGGTGTCTCAGATACCTCTATTTTTTGAGCTACAGCTGCTTTGAGTTGTGAGAAGTGTAGAAAAAGAGCTTTGGTTCCAGGTAATACTGTCTGTTTTACCACAGGGACTGCAAGGAAAGGAAATCAAGAAAAATGCTCTGTAATTCAGAATCCACATGAACACACCAAAACCAGCAGGATGGTGCAAAGTCTTTACCTGAAGCAGAATTAAGAGGAGAGGGAGTTAAGCATAGAGTATGCATAGTCCTGCCCCAAGACCTGATAAATCTGCTACCTGAGATGCTAGCTCAGAAAGAATGTATATTTCCTGTGCTGGTTTTCTGACTTTCAAGAATCCGATAAAAAAACTTCTCCAAAACAAGCATGTACCATTAAGGAGCCCCGTGATTGAAAACATTATTTTCCAAGTGCAATGTTATGACACAGCATCAGATGGCTGGTTTTTTTAAAAAAAAAAATTAAAAACCCATTATAATAAATAACAAGAATGCTTCTCTCTTACCTGTCTGAAGTGGGTTTAGCTGAATTTGTTGAGGAGCAGTAAGCATAATACGGTTGTGCGGTGGCCGCAAGGCTACCATAGGGGTCTGTGTCAATGTCACCTGTGGTGGCCTGATCAACGTGCCTGGCTTTTGAGACTGCTGAATAACCTGAAAACATTTGAAGAGACATTTGTTTCAATAAACCGGCTAAGAACAAGAAAGCCTAGGTGCACTTTTTAATAACATGAATACAAAGCTGGAAATGAATGAATTGCAGCTAAAATATTATGTTCACTTTTCACATGGTCTCGTCCTTCCCCTGCCCACCCTCCTAATATTCTTAAGAGGGTCTCTTCTCCAGCCTTCAGATATTAGATATTAGCTGGAAGCGGGGAGGCAGAAAAGGGTCCTTTCCTTCCACTCTGCAGTTTTAATCTGAAATCTTAGGCGCAGTACTGCACCCAGAACTCAGAAACTGCTCGTGCTAATTAAATTCCCTGTCGCAAAATGAGCCTAGAACAATAGGAGTTTCGAACACTGACCTTGAGCTCCTTGGAGGAAAAGGTGGCAGAGAAACGTAAGAAATGAATTTGAGGTTTGAGAGTAGTTGCAGTTGACTAAGAATGCCAATGCAACTGACAGCTTTTGGAACCCTTTAACCAGGACTTTTTTTCAGCAGGAACTCACTGGAACTCAGCTCCAGCACCTCTCAAGTGGGTGCCATTGCCGTTATAAGAGATCATGGAAGACATTAATGGTAAGTTCTGGCACCTCTTCTTCTAGAAAAATAGCACTGCCTTTAACTATGCCGCTAGTCTCTCAAATTAAAGCAGGCTATATGTGAAAAGGGTATTTTCCACATCAACCTAATACGGTCTAGAGATGCATGATAAAAGATTTGACTGGAGAGGCCCCTTGTTTTATATACAACCACTACAGCCCTGTCCAAAGTTTTTCAAAAATGAACACCATTCCATTTTTTGTGGGTGATGTTGCTCTGCCAGACTTGGGGTACAAGGTTGTCAGAAGCCTCCCCCCATTTAATGCATAATTTAGATACACCTTGTGGATCATGAGTGTATCTTGCCATAAAGCCCCATTCCCCTGCAGTACAGCAGCAGTGGGTTTAAGAGTAGCCCATCCTCACAGTTGCAAGTACAGGAAGAGAAACAGCTTAGTTCTTCAAGTAACTAAGAGCAGGAAAGCTGACAGGCAAGTGTGGGTAGCCAAATCCAATTCAGGTTTGAATCTTTCAATGCTAGCAAAATCAAACTAAAGAATACTGTCATTTGTAAATGACAGCAGAACCTCTTTCGGAGAGGTTATCAATGCACATACGCAACAACTGCCTTGCCATTCATTTAGTGTGCTGTTTGGTCTCTTATCAGTAGCCAGCCTAATGCTCCTAGGAACCTTGCAATCATGGTACAATGGATATGGCTATCCCCTAATGCTTGCCCCTAGCCTCTGGCAAATCATTTGTATGCTGATTCTGAACATGCAAGTTTTAACTGTTGTAGTTCGAAGAACTTTTCTCCATGAACTTTTAAAAGCTACCTGCTGCTACTGGCTATCATGCAGAAATGAATCCAAGAAGTTGCTTTTGGCCTATGCGAAGCAGTACCTCCCTTTAATTTCTCCTGTACCTACTGCCAATAAACTCTTCGTTTTCAGAGAGGCTGTGATGGCAACAACACACAGCGATTGCTAGGGCCAATGCACAAAGGTTTGTAATATATCCTTGATAGAGCTTTTCTTTATCAAGAAAAAGGAGGTATGGATAAAGGGCATGTGAAGCAGAGAAACAGCTTTGGGGGGTGGAAATCATCAACTCTTTTTACATCTACAGCTTTTCCATTCTGAATTGCTCTCTCCCCTCCTCCCTCCACACCAAAGCTACTTTTCCCCTGCAGCTGAAATCCAGCTGGGAGCAATTTGGAGCAGAAAAATGGGTAGGGAGAGGGTTAAGCACACATGCTTTACATGCCCACCTCCTGAATAAGCTATTCCAGAGATGAAGGAAAAGGAGACCATTGACTACAGAGCAACACACATTTGTAGGTAAAGGTAAAGGTACCCCTGCCCGTACGGGCCAGTCTTGACAGACTCTAGGGTTGTGCGCCCATCTCACTCAAGAGGCCGGGGGCCAGCGCTGTCCGGAGACACTTCTGGGTCACGTGGCCAGCGTGACAAAGCTGCATCTGGCGAGCCAGCGCAGCACACGGAAACGCCGTTTACCTTCCCGCCAGTAAGCGGTCCCTATTTATCTACTTGCACCCGGGGGTGCTTTCGAACTGCTAGGTTGGCAGGCGCTGGGACCGAGCAACGGGAGCGCACCCCGCCGCGGGGATTCGAACTGCCGACCTTTCGATCGGCAAGCCCTAGGCACTGAGGCTTTTACCCACAGCGCCACCCGCGTCCCTTAACACACATTTGTACCAACTGATAAAAAGGCATGAAATATCGACAAGATATCTAGTTTTACGTTCAGTTTATGCCCATTACTGACTGGTGTTAGGAAGGAAAGGATTCAGTTTTCTGGGAGGTAAAGTGTAGGATTGATTCATTTTGATTTACACACCACCTGCGTGGGCTGCCCTTGTTTGCCAACCCCAACTTGCGTCGGCTGCGTTAGGCTGATGACGGGCTGCTGCAAGGTACTCGTGACGGTGGCAGGGGTCTTTCCTGCTGTACGCTGAACTGAGCCGCTCAGCATCACCGCTGTCAGGGCCGTTGTGGGCTGCGTCGTGGGCTGCTGCTGCTGGCTTTGCTGAATGAAAGCCGCCGAATCTGGAGTCAGCTGTCTCAAGGCAGGTAAGCTCCGCTGTGGGAACAAAAGAGGAAGTGACGTCACACTGCTGTGTGGCAAGTGCTAATGCTTACACACACACCCCCAAAAATTAGCATCAAGTTTCAGTTATCCCTAGAGGCATCAGAAATGTGCAGTAGTTTGTGGTGAGTGACACCCCCGTGTAACATACTGCTAGACAAGGAACACAGTCAAGAATCAGAGGTTTTCTCAAGCCTTGCTATCCAAAGATAAAAATCCCTATCAAACAAGGAATCTTAGGTTGTATTTGTAATACTTACTTGTCCAAAGGGGACAAATTTTCTCTGTGGAACAGTAAACTCTATACTCCAGCTGAGCGAACAACTTGGCTACAATATTTCACAAGAGGGGGAAATCAACAGCCCAAAACTGTGCCGGTTTTGCCTTCCAATTACTGAATTGACCACAGTGATGCCCCCATTTGCAGGGACAAGTGGGGGTAATGATACTGACCCATCTTGCAGAGTTGTTCTAAAGATGCCTGTGCAGCGTGAGAAGCGCTAAAGGCATCTTAGAGTTGTGCGTACCTCTTAATACCCTGGGATGAAAATAGTACTTGGGAATCTGCCTTCAAAGCAGGGGAAAGCCCATCCTTGAAGAGGAAATAAAATCTACAGTCTGCAACTCTTGACTGCACAGGCTTGACAGGAATGCTCAAAGCACTGACGTCTGAGACAAGGAGTGCCTCATGAGTGCAAAATCTGACATTTCTGTGCAGATCCCCTAAGACGGACTGGAAATACTGTGGATTTTACCACATTATCAGCAGGAACCAAACAAAAACGCAGAGTATAATGCAATATTATTAGTAGTAGTAGTAGTAGTAGTACCCTGCCCGTCTGACTTGGTTGCCAACAGTATGGTGCTAGCTAATATTTAACCAATGGAACTGGCTCATAGAATTCTTATTCTTCCTATTATTATTATTATTATTATTATTATTATTATTATTAGTTGTTGTTGTTGTTGTTGTTGTTGTTGTTGTTGTTGTTGTTGTTGTTGCTGCTGCTGCTGCTGCTGCTGCTGCTGCTAAAATTTGTATACTGCCCTTCATCCGCAGATCCCAGGCCAGTTCACAACATACCCAGGGCATTTCACAATAATTGCTAGTTGGAAATCAGAACAAGTGATATAATATCAAGCTTGAAAATGCACTTTTGCATACACCTTGCACACACTATACAACATGACTTGGGATTCACACACGTTAAATTCCTATACTTCCTCCATATACACCTTTCTTAGGAGGAAGGGATGCTGAGAGCAAGAATGCATGTGTATACCCAGCATCACACATCATCTCACCAGGTCTACCAGATTTCCAGCAGTGATTGTGTGAACACAGTAATTCAATATTCTGCATACAGAATATTGTCACAGCTGCACTCTATGGTTTTTACATCAAGAAAATTCCCCTGTGATTCCTTTTATGAAGGAACAGAAAGAGATTTTTTTGTTCTTGTAGTCAGTCATCTTTACTACTTTAATTTGGTACCAATTTTTAATAGTGTTTCCCGCTTCTTTACTGAGAAGGGCAAGAGGCTTCTCTGCCAAGTGATGCAACTAGAATGGAGAGAGGTTGTTACCTTCAAGAAAGGCACAAGGTAAGGTTGAGGTGAAGAATTAAGTTCCCGGTACAGTCTGCTGGTGAAATCTTCTGCTTCAATTTTTCCATCCTGAAGAATAAAATTCAGATTCAGATTTTTCCAGATAATGAATTCCAGATATTAAGCCCTCAACAATTTAAATGTATAAGGAGGACATATCTTCTTAACAAGATACAGTTGTACCTTGGTTGCCAAATGCCTTAGTACTCGGACGTTTTGGCTTCAGAACGCCACAAACCTGGAAGGGAGTGTTCCAGTTTGTGAACGTTTTTTGGAAGTTGAATGTCCGACACGGCTTCCAATTGAGTACAGGAAGCTCCTGCAGCCAATCAGAAGCCACACCTTGGTTTCTGAACCATTCTGGGAGTCGAATGGAGTTTGACAACCAAGGTACCACTGTACTTAACTGGGTAAATTTATTTAAGGCATTTTGCAAGAAGAATGCTACATATTCATCCAACATTAAAATACAAATAACACATCTGCTAGGAATTTCAGTTTAAATACATTTTTAATACACTTGAACTGCTCTTATTTTCTATGCTCATAAGCAGAATGCTAATTCAAAAAGTCACAAAAACGTGTATGTTTACATCAAATGGTAGAGCTGTTATTTTGACTGGCTTGTTTTTTATTTCTCTGCTTTTTCAATACTGTGGTTTTTCAATACTGGACAGCAATGAGAACATCCATATGGCTGAAGCCTTCTATGGTTTTCATTTCACATGAATGAACTCTGTCTTGTTAGGGTATATCTTGCTTAAGTTTTGTTAATTCATACACATGTGACTGTTGTAATTAAAAAAAAGTTGGGGTGGGGAGGAAAATTCCCATATTTTCATTTCAATCTTTTTAATGTTTTGAAATTATTTCCTTAATTCACCTTAAAAAAAGATGACATGTTTTAAATGAATGGATAGCAATAAGACGCTGGAAAATTATGACAGGTTGCTGTGGAGAAGCAGGTTGCTTCTCTGTAGCTTTCCCTGCTCAATGGCCTTATATCTAAAAATAGATGTTCTGAGTCGCATCCATAACACCTTGTACATTACTTCAGAATTTGCTCTTCGGGTTTTACAACAGGGGTAGCTAACCTGTGGTCCTCAAGTGTTGCTGAACTCCCAACTCCGATCAGACCCTGCCAGCATGGCAAACAGTCAAGGATGACAAGAGTTAGGAGTATGGCAGCATCCAAGTTTCAGTAGAGTATGAGACTCTCATGGTTTTGAGCCCTACATTGGGCTACAAGATTCTTACATCGCAAGGGGTTGGACTAGACGACTCACACTCCCTTTCAACTCTACAATTCTGTGCTTGTATGCTATGCTTATAAAAGGATTAACCCTTTTCTTCTTAAGCAAAAAGAGTAAACACATGAAAAGTATCTTGTTATGTCTACTGCTTCTCAAATCTTTGTTTCACCTAACAGTATTGAAAGTCAACATTTTACCCTCTTATTTTCAAACTACGTTTCATAACCGTATGTTTGTGGCCTGGTTCAGACAATCCAGCGGACTAGAGATGAGATACGGCAAGACTCATGCTCCCAAGGCCTCCATCCCCACCTTCTCCTTCATACACGCAAGGAGGAAAGTGGAAGTTTTGCTTTAGAACAAATTGTGGTTCTGTGCCGCACCTCAACTCAAGGAACAGTGGTTCATTCCAACCGAAATTGTTAAAAACAAATGATTAAACTATGGTTTCAGATCCTGACTTATTAACTGATTTTAGTTAGAACAAACCACTGTTCCTTGTGTTTTAGACAACATGTGAACTGCGGTTTATTTTAAATCGGAAGCTATCGTTCTCTTCCTCTTATATGCAAAGGCAAAGGAGAGGGGAGAGACTCATTCTCAGCCACCCAAGCTATGTTTCAGATGAGGATCTGAACTAAACCGGTGTCTGTCTTACCAGCAGGTGCTGAACTAGTTCTTTCACATTAGCGGCAGTCTCGGAAGACTGCTTTCCAGAAGAGGCCAGTTTTATTAGCGTGGAGAGAAAATTCTTACATTTCTTCACATTTTCCATGGTTTCCTATTGGAGGGAAAGATAGAAAAGAAAGTGAGAAGGGAGAGGGTGTTTTTTTAAAAAAAAAATGTATTTGAATTCAATCTGAACGCTATAGAATCCCTTTCAACCCTATCGATTGGCAACACTGCCATTCAAATTGTATTTGGCCAGGGGTGTGGATACTCTGTGCCCATGCATAAAAAACACATGATGTGATAATGGAAACATGCCAGATTCTCAAGGATCCTGGCTTCCTTGTTTTTGTCTTAAAGAAAGTTTATGGCCCTTGTTACTACAAATATGTTTCATGGCTTGTGGGGCAATGCCTGTTGAATCTTAGAAGCTAGAAGGAGAAGCTGAGCAAGTTTTCCACTATTGCTGTATTGTTATTAGATTTCAGTGTCCTGCCCAGTTCTTTGCCTCTCCCATCACCACTAGGAGTAGAATAAATTGTGCAAAGTAAGATCAAAATAAGCAAATTGCTTATATCATTTAATCCAGCTGTCCCCAACACAGAAGTTAGGTTATTTTGGTGCAGAACTTGTACTTATTTTGTTTTACAGCATGTGTGTGGCACAGTAAAGTTTACCATAATTCCCACAAACATTTACATGATCACAGCACATTCGCCTCACTTAGCAGTTTCATACCCATAAGGTACAAACTGGAGTGTCAATACTGTGCCAGCGAAGTAGTCAGTATGCCCTACACTGAACCCTTGGTGGTAAGTTAATGGGTTCCTCTCTTGGAAGCTGGCAAGATTTGGCTTTTGACTTGCAACAAACAGTCATTGGGAGCTTACTGTGGCCGCAGCTGAGGCTATTGCGGCTGCTTGCACCGCCCTTTGAGACGTTCCAGTCTGCACAGCAGTCGCTGTTCCTAATGCTGTCGTTTGTGCAGGATTACCCAGAACAATCTGAGGCTGCAAAGATACACAGATATTTGACAATTATACAGAGCTGCAAATGAAGGGAGGATGCATTTTATCAGACGCAATATCCTCCTTACAGTGATGTTAAAACAGGCTCCAAAAAAAGAGACACATTTGCTCTGGCCACCTGTCTGGCGCAGTTAAATGAAACAACCACCAGGTGGCACAAAGCCCTATGCATTCAGAATTCAAGACACTGGAAGTTGATTAAACAAAGCATGTGTTTTTGGTGCAAAAGGTAGAAGGCGGCAGAACACAGGACCTATGAAACGGGCTACAGACCTTGTGGTGCAGCCAAATAAATCTATTTTGCTTCTGCTTCTTAATCATCACTCCCAATTATTATAACGGCACTGTGCATGCAGACAGAACAGGCATGAGGGTAAAAACTTGGGGGGGGGGGACGGGACTATGGTTTGCATCCCACATCAGTCACACAGTCAACATATGTCAAGGAAGAATCGGGGCAAATCGAAACACACTGAAAAAATTGCACAGTTAAAAGCTGTTATCCAGGGGGAAATGTTTAGAAGCTTAGTCACTGAAAGAGAAACTCTTTGCTGGTTCCACCTATCCGCTGACTCCCAAAAGTCTAAAGTAGCTGGAATAACTATCCACAAGTACTAATCTGGACCACCTGTAACATAATTTAAGAGGTGTAAAGAATCTTTAGCGATGCTATAGTTGTGCAGCTCCTGCAGAAAGTCCAAACCCCTTCTGAATTAAGACACTTTACCATTTGAATGCACCAGCTTTTTAAACCTCAGTAAGGGCCGGACTATTCAGAAATTTCTGTTTGCACTTATTATTGTACTTACTCTTCCTTTACAAGCTACACGTAAGCCCCACCGTGCTTGATGGAGTCCACTCACCTACTTGGGAGAATGCCCCACTGGCCCCAGTGTGACTTAGTTTTACATCTCCATCATCTATTCTCATAAAAATGAACGGCGCCCAAACAGCACCCTGGGTCTCAGCCAATGTTCTGTTTTAGGATTAGCCGGCAAACGTGTGTTGGCAACCTTACCTGAACTACAGGGGGCCGCTGTAGCGTTGTCGTGGGCTGTACAGTTGTCTGTGCCTGAGACACTTGCTTGATTATAGTGGTTGGAGCCACCTGCCGCGCAATGATAGGCGTTCCAGGAGCCTGCAAAAAAGAATCCCAGGTACGTTCACAGAGAAGTAGCCACATATAAATAGATAACATGCCCAGTTTAACCAAGAATCCAACCTAAGGTAAGTTGGGCTGAAATTTTAAGTCCCAGCACTTTCTTCAGTTCTGCATCCTTTAAAGCAAATCCACACCCAGTACTTAGTCCTGAATAGTTATAGCTTTGAGTTGTTTCAACTGCACATCTTCATAACTTTGGATCTAGTCTAGATTTTTCATGGGTTTTTGTTTGTTTGTTTGTTTGTTTGTTTTTAAACCAACAGGTTTATAACCCACTAGGGCTGGACGATATCTGGGTTTCAACATTGTGATATATCACCAGATAATCATCATATATATCACAATGTCTGAAATAAGGATGGAGCTATGTAGAGGCATTGGCTGGCTTCATGGCTTTCCGCACATTGTGAGTTGTGAACAGCACACAAACACGAATGCGCGCGCACACACACACACACACACACACAATCAGTATCATGATATGGACTTCAAACCAGTTTTGGAACAATGCTCTATGTGATTCTGTGGGCTATAGGGCTGGAATCACAGAAAAGTCACAGGGCTTCTCTTACTATCTTGATCCCAACATTTATATGGCAAGTTAGATCTTCATCAAAAGTTACTGTGAAGATTAACAGAGTACAGGATGTAACTTCAGGGAAGTCTGAACTTGATAACTGGCATTATTAATTAGGCTATTTTATTATTAAAATTCCAAAAGCAATATGTCAGGTCTCCAAGCCTCTAATAAAAAACCTTGAGATAAAGGCTGATTTTCTGCTGGAAAAAATCCTCCTTTAATCCTAATATTTGAAGCTGCAATGTATTAATTTATCATTTTTTAAAAATAAAATAAAAAACCACATGGTTATAATTCACTTGTCTGAATTTGCATAAAAATGTTATGGCTCTAAGACTAAATCAGCATTGTTCTAATAGCTATTAACTAAACAGTTAATACATGAGATGATTAATTATCCAAATCCAGACTTTCAGATCCTTTAAAGTAGCCCCACCTCCCCATCCTTGCTTCAAGTCCCTATCCATCCACCCCTAAACTATGGCCACATATCCAATATCCTTAACTATGGCCAAACACCCAGACTTTTAAAAATTATAAAAATGGAAATTAAGGTGAGCACACCTCTACAATTATAAGCAGGTTAATTGAGGAATGTGAGTTTGCTAGCACATAATCTGGATTTTAAAAAACCAGAGGTGAACAGAAATCATGCAACACTAAACTCAGTCCAGGGGTTTCAGCTTGCCTTAGAATACCCCAGATGGCACTCAGCACAAAATCCTGAAGCTCAGGGCCAAGCTAAGAATCACCAATGGGTTTTTGTTTTCTTTTACTGAAAGGCAGCTGTGGGGGGCAGCAGGTAGGGCTGCTTATTTTTGTAATTTATATCACAGCTAGCATTCCCAGAGCTGCTTACAAAACAATAAAAACAAAATCGTACAGAAGCACTGAATACAGGCTTCATGCTACCTATCAGAGCAGCCTCCCAACTCCTACTTGCGTGCAAGCAAGGAGCGGGGCGGGGATCTCTGAGCGGTGAAGGCAGGCTTCACAGAAGGGGGCAGAGATCTCTCAGGCAAAGGGAAGCCTCCTCCCTTCCCAGCTGTTTGCATGTAGGAATGGGAATGGGGCTGCTCCGAAGGCCCCCTCCTGCTTGAATGTAGGAATGGGAATGGGGCTGCTCCGAAGGCAGTGTGAAACCTCACTTCCCAGCTGAGGGATCCCTACCCCTTCCTGCTTGCATGTAAGTAGGAATGGGATTGGGGCTGCTCCAATGGGAAGGGGGGCACTGCACTGCCCAAGCCTTGCTACCGCTCTCAGCCCTCCTTCTCCGCCTTCCATGCCTGACCCACCCCACACTGCTTCCCCACCACCACCACCAAAGAACCAACAACTCAGGGGCTGCCCATGCTCATGGAGAAAGGAGATAGAAGCCTCGGAGGAAGGGGAAACGTGGTGGTTGAGGTCAAGGCGGCGGCCGCCCCTCTGTCACTGCCGTCGCTGCAGCATCCAGAACGTGTAGTAATTAATTAATTAATTAAAGGGTCCCCAGATTCATTGAAAAAAAATCTGGTAGCCTTAACCTAGGGGGCAATTCTGAGCAAAAAGCACAGTGGAGGGGAGAGGGTCAAGCACCTCTCTACCATTCATCCACTTACAAATGCAACTTCCTACGGCCTTTTCTTTTTGTTTGGAAACCAAACAAAAGAAAGCACATTGATAACACAGTTACATGCACCACCCATGAAGCATCTAGCATCGGCCTCAGTCGGAGTCCTGAAGTCTCATGCTTGCTTCTGACCACAGTAGCCAATTATATTCATGCACATTTCATGTTCAGACCATTAACTTCCACATTATTATTTTTTTAGAGGAGTGATTCGGAGGAGGAAATTAACAAACTGATCTCCATCTAACTACAGAAAAGTGGGTCAAGATCCAAGCACAAAGTCTGCAGTAGGCCTCAGATTTAATTTGCAAACAAATAAAGGAGGAAAGCAACATTGCTAGTCTTTAGGGTTCTACATAGTGAAATTGTTTGCCGTAAACAAAGTTCTGGACAGGAATTCCACTCGTAAGGCGCTGGGAGTTTTCATGACACGACTATCAGTCAGGAAATGTCTCCAGATACACACTCTTTCCCCTTTCCTTTACGACTGGCTCACAGTATGAAAAGCTGAATGCAATACCGAGCTATGCAAACAATATTATGTATGCATGTTAAGCAAATCCTTGCAAATTTGCCACATTTGGATCATTCGCTTCAGCTATGAAATTCGAGATTTGGGGCCATGGAAACCTGGAGCGCTTTTAACACAGCGGGTGAAGCTCTAGGATGGGAAGCACTTGCAAAGGATATAACTAGGAGCTGCTTGTTTTCGGGAATAAAAGCTTCACTGGAAGACTGGTGGGTAAATGCAGGTCTCTCAGTGGACTGAGAATCCTGCCACCTAGAGTCAGCGCAGACATACTTTGCAGGCACGCAGAATACAACGCAGGACATGTCAAGGGTAAACACCTGGAGGCAGCCAGCTTGGATACCCTCAAATGTAAGGAAATTTAAGATTTTATTTTACTTACGTTTCTCAGTGAACTGACCTGCACAGTCGAGATCTGGACCGGAGAAGCACTGGTAGGGGTGGCAGGGCGAGGAGTCATGGTGGTTTGAGGCTGGGACTGCGCATGGGCCTGCATTTGCGCCAAAGCTTGTTGAGGGATCATCAGTAGCTGGCCATTCTCGCTACGCACAAGAACCATGCCTGAAAGGGAGGGAAGATAGTGCCCGTCAGGATTGCCTTGGGAAACAGGAAGTCATTCCACATGTGGGATCAATGAAGATTCAACTTGGGACATCGTTCAGTGAAAAGAGTTTCAATGAGATTCCGCAATTGTTTTTCCCAGGATAGTTAAGCTCAGATTAACCAAAGAATATTTCCATTACCAGACTGCACAATGGGGAACATGGTCCAATGACACAGTACATGCCTTGCATGCAGAAGGGCCCAAATCCAATCCCCATGTCAAGAGAGAGTCAAGAACCTCCCGAGGCAGATCCATCCTCCATGTATTATAAAAAGGAAACACTTATTTGACCCCAGATATTTGACACAGGGGACGCTGTGAGTAAAAGCCTCAGCGCCCAGGGCTTGCCGATCGAAAGGTCGGCGGTTCGAATCCCCGCGGCCGTACCCCTGCCCGTACGGGCCAGTCTTGCCAGACTCTAGGGTTGTGCGCCCATCTCACTCAAGAGGCCGAGGGCCAGCGCTGTCCGCAGACACTTCCGGGTCACGTGGCCGGCGTGACAAAGCTGCATCTGGCGAGCCAGCGCAGCACACGGAAACGCCGTTTACCTTCCCGCTGGTAAGCGGTCCCTATTTATCTACTTGCACCCGGGGGTGCTTTGGAACTGCTAGGTGGGCAGGCGCTGGGACCGAGCAACGGGAGCGCACCCCGCCGCGGGGATTCGAACCACCAACCTTTCAATCGGCAAGTCCTAGTCGCTGAGGCTTTTACCCACAGCGCCACCCGCGTCCCCACTTATGTAGTTACTTGTCTAGAAAAGCCATTGAGCTTCTTCCCTGTAACTCACTTGTGAAAACAACAGCAGAAGGAAAAACCTACTATTAAATTCAATCTCTATTAGGGCAGCCTTAAAAGCCACCAACCAATTAAACAGAGGTTTTCGTCAGAAAAGGGAACACAAATTGTCTAACTTCTAAATTAATTTCCCATAACAGATTTAGTCACAAAAGTGGTTATAAAAACCATAACTGGCCTCCAGTGCATCTGTAACAGACGGCGCAGTGCTGAATTACATCCCAAAAGAAAAATAAAAAGGACGAGGCAAATAAAGCTGCCGTTCCCTGCTTAACCACACATATCTACACTCTTAACCTGCTGTAACAGCTACAGTAGGGAAAGGGCTGAAAACAAAACTCACACCTGTTCTCAGTTCTTTTGGGCAGAGCTAGGATGTAACAAATCCAACACAGTTAGTGAAGCATTCATTCACTGAAACTCATCTAAAGAAATACGTCACGCTCCGTTCACACATAATAATTGGAGCAAGTGATGAGCATGCATGTCTGAACTAGCCCTATTTAACAGACAGAATTTGCACATCGCCTCAGAAAACAAGGCAAAATTTCTATGGAGCCAGTTCACACATTCAGCCACAAATAATCAAGTGCAGAGTTTATTAACCAGTGTCTAAGCATGCCTGCACAAACACGCTCAGCGTGGCTGCGAAGAAGGATGGCTTGTGCTGTTGACAAGCGTTATCTACATCAAAGGGAGAAACAAGATATCTGACAAAGAATATATCACGAGGCTCTCCAATTTCACTTTTTAAAAGCATTTTTAACCTAACGTATTAAAGAGAGGAGTTCTCCCTGCTTCTCCCTCTTGCTTATATGCTCCCTTGCATTTAAAAGGATCAGGGCTCATCCTTCCGTGTGCCCAACCAAAGGATCTCAGGCACTAAAGGAAGGTGGAAGTCTCTGGAGAGCTTCCATCAGCCCAAACCGCCAGTTCAGGGTTAGATGGAGGACAAAGATAACGCAATACAGGGTAGTTTTATGCTATCTTCTATGGGGCCTGGAGAGTCTCTCCAATAATCAGCACAGCCAATAGCAATATCCATCAAAAGTCACAGAAAGAACACCACCCAACTAAAAAAGCAGAGAGCCTCTCCTTTATCTCTGACCACAGGAAGTTGCCCAAATTTTAAAAGTCTAACGTTACTTTCTAGATGCAACCAAGCTCAGGATAAGTTGCCTAACTTGGTATTATTATTCATCTTTCTTGTGGCTCTGACCATGTGATGCCCCTCTTTAAATCCCTACACTACCTCTTCAGTCCACTCAAAAATCCTGAACAAGCATCTCATCCTTACCTTTAAACCCACCTGCCTCTTCTCTCCATGACCTTCAGCCACTCAAAAGTCTCTTTCTCCCTCAAATAACTCCCGATCTTTTACCCTTGCTGCTTTTAGATCTAAAACTGCCTCCCAGAATGCTTTCGTGCAGCCACCTCCTTTACCTCTTTCAAGCCCCTTTAAAACTCGGCTTTTCGAAGAAGCCTGCGGAACACCTCCATATTCTTGATGTAGAAGAACATAAGAGCCCTGCTAGGTGAAACCAAAGACCTATCTGGTCCAGCTTGTTACTTTCCACAGTGGCTAGCCAGGTCCCCATGGGGCTAGGTTGCCTGAAGTACTGCTCAGCGCTGTATAGACCTATAAGATCACTCAAGTGGTCTGGGAAATTTTAGTTATGGCACTACAGAATATCACAGGGTGATGACCCAGAAAGGGACGTTCCCAGCTTTTCTGTAACTGAAGTCTGCATTTTGTTCCAGGCTGTTTCAATCTTATGGTTTAATTATGGTTTAATTTTTGTGTAGATTTCAGCCCTGGACTTTCAAGTGAAGGGCAGATTAGAAATAAATGTATTTAAGCCGCCTCCTGGTAGCCAGGTAGGCAACAAGTATTTTCATCATGAAGGCAAGTGAGTGGGCTGGAATGCTTCCTCCCACCTCTGTGCTCAGCATAAAAACCAAGCGATGTGCAAGATTCCCCCTGCCCATTCCACAGCGTAGAAAGGGGGTGGAACAGCAGGGCTCTCCATCCTTCCTCTGCTAACTATCAGGAGGCTAGTGAAAAAACTTTGCAGGCTAGTATGTTTGGTGGACTCATTTACAAGGCAAACTTTCTAGGGGAAAACTATGCTCCCACATTCCTGAATAAGGTCTTAATCAGAACGTGTTGAGTGTTATTATTATCCGTATCATCCCCCAGTACCATCCAGAGGCATTGCTTCTTTCTTTGGCTGTTTAGTTCTGCTCCTCATTTTTCTTTCAAGGGGGCAAATTGAAATTTTATACTGGGTTTTCTTCCCTTACTGGATTATCCACAGATTGGGAAAATCTGAGTTTAGCAGAGGTAAAGTATGGGTTGACACTTGAATGAGGACCTTGCACGGACACAGGGGAAAATAAATAAATAAGCAGTTTCAAATCCACAATAAACTCCAGTGTGGATGAGTCCCAATTGTTCTTAATTTGCATAATGTATACATGTCACATAATTCAGATTTTCTTGGAACATGATTCTTATTTTGTGCTTGAATGACTAAATACAGTAATGCCTCGGTTTTCGAACGTAATCCGTTCCAGAAGTCCATTCGAGTTCTGAAACGTTTGAAAACTGAAAAATCAATACGGAAGCCGTGTGTCATGTTCAACTTCCAAGGCATGTTCAAAAACCGAAGCATTTACTGTACTTCTCCCATTTTCTTAAATTTGAGTCCCCCAAAATAGGGGTCATCTTATACACGGGGGCGTGTTATACACAGAAAAATACGGTACTTCCAGGTTTATGGCGTTTGAAAACTGACACGTTCGTCAACGGAAATGTTCGAAACCGAGGTACCACTGTATGTCTTTCTCCTAAATCCTACCCACCTGTTTCTAGATTCTGGCAGCACCCACATCATTTAACCATAAATCTTCTCCATTCATACCTAGACATACACCCCAGCCCTGAAAGTAACTTAGCTAATGACGTCTAGCCCATTCTACTCATCAAAAATACACGTCAAAATTCAACACCTGCCTTAGCTAACAAAAAATCTCCAGGACATTAGCTCATCCATTGATCAGAGGCTGTTCATTGGTAACAATTAGGAAGAAAAGTGGCATTAATCATTCCATCTGAGTCAATATTCTGAAACTGGTAGCCATGCATTGGTAAAGGGAGGTTTCAAATTTGTATTAACCGTCACATGTCAGCAAAAAAAAAGCCATCAGCTCCATCAGTTTCACAGACTATACAGAAACATTAGCTATGTTCCTTGCACATATTCTGATAAAGTTGAAATGTTTGAACAGCAGCCTTAAGCATCTTCCACTAATTTAGGGCTAAGCAACATACTTGGCACGAACATCACGTTCCCCCCTCACCTCATGACATGCAATTAACATACCAAGCTCAACATGCTGAATGACTGCAAATGAAGCAAATTCACTAATAATGGGATGTTTTACTATAACATCTATTGAGTAAGTGTAATGTACAAATACTACACATGGCCTACTTGAAACTCAGGGAAACATTATAGAAACGAGTATTTGAAAAATATCAGATGGAGGATTCATATTACTTTCTCTTCAAGCCCTAAGCATTTAGAATATGCCAACAATGCATAGTATATCTTTGGGGATATCTCTGCAAACCATGAGGGCTTGATTTAAAAAAAGAATGACAGAAAGAAAGCTCCAATGGGAATAATTTTCAACAAGCATGTGTTCCATGCAAAAGTAGTTATAAAGGAAGATCTTTGGCCAGTGAATGACCTTCCCCCTAACTCTTTTCTGGAATAATTCTGAAATCTTCAAGACTGGTAATTGACAATAAAATTCTACTGTGGTCAATAGAGTTGGCTCCCATGTAAGTGTGCATAAGATTGCAGCCTTAATATACTAGATTTTCTGGAATATGCTTACCAGAATCTTTAGAAAAAGGAAGGAAAGAAAACTGAACCACAGCCAGGTTTAATTGGTAACAAATATCATTTTGTTTTTCTCTCTAATCATGATACAATATGCATACACTGCAGCTTTCTCAGCAAATATCAAAATTGCCCTCTTTTAATTAGTAATTATAAGTCACAAAGGGCAAAGTTAACCACTTTTAAGTCACACACTGGTCTCAATGGGAAAATGCTTAAATGAATCCCATTGAAATCTGTAGGATTTAGAA